CATTATAATCAACTCCCTCCATTTGAGCGTAGCCTTTAGCCACCAATCTTGCTTTGTAGCGGATGTTATTCTTGTCAGGAAATCCATATTTCTTTGTATATACCCACTTGCACCCAATTATCTTCTTTCCCTTCGGAAGACTAGCTAGTTTCCACGTCTGATTCTTTTGAAGGGATTGCATTTCTTCATTTATGGCGATCCTCCACTTTTTATGTTCTGAACTTTGGTTTGCTTCATTAAAAGTGGAAGGAACGTCATCAATTGCAATTGGTAATGCAAAAGAGACCATATCAGCATAACGATCAGGTTGTTTAATGGTCCTCTTTCCCTTTCTGAGTGCAATTGATTCATGTTGCTGTGGAGGTTCTTGGGTTTGAACCTCTTCTTCATCTGACTTTTCTTCTACCATAGGAGAGTCAACATCAGTTTCTTTACTGGCTGGGACAATTCTGTTTCCTTCAAACTCCACCTGTTTGGGAGTTCCATCTGTCTGCTCCAATTTTTCTGAAAGTCACCTTTCTTAACATGATAGATTCATCAAAGGTAACATCCCTGCTGAAGATTATTTTCTTTGTTTCTGGACACAAAAGACGATAGCCTTTCACACCAGAGGTGATCCCCATAAAGATCGCATTCTTTTCTCTTGGATCCAGCTTTGACTCCTTAACATGGTAGTATGCAGTGAAACCAAACACATGTAAGGAATCATAATCTGTAGCAGGTTCTCCAAACCATTTATCTAATGGTGTTTTACCACCAATATCAGTCGATGGTAAACGGTTGACAAGGTGACAAGCATAGACCAAAGCCTCAGCCCAAAATTCTTTGCCTAACCCAGCATTAGACAACATACACCAGACCTTCTCCACTAATGTCCGATTCATACGCTCTGCCACCCCATTCTGTTGTGGTGTATATCTAACAATGAAGTGCCTGACAATACCTTCCTCTTCACAGACTTTCAGAAATGGATCATTTTTGTACTCTTCACCATTGTCTGTACGGAGACGTTTGATTTTTCTGCCTGTTTGAGTCTCCACCATCTTTTTCCATTTAAGGAAAAATCCTAGTACCTCATCTTTTGTCTTCATTTGATACACCCAAACTCTCCGGGAAAAATCATCAACAAAGGTGACATAATAGTGTGTTCCTCCCAATGAAGTTGTCTTGGAAGGCCCCCATACATCTGAATGAACATAATCCAAAATACCTTTAGTATCAGGGATTGTTGTTCCAAATTTCACCCTCATTTTCTTCCCTTTGATGCAATGTTCACAAAAAGCTAATTTGCAAGCCCGAGCACCCTTCAATAATCCTTGATCTATCAACAATTTCAAGAATTTTTCACCAGCATGCCCCAAGCGCATATGCCATAACCTGGTTGCTTCTGACTCCTGTTCATCAGTAGAAGCTGCCACTACTGCTGTCCCAACAATTGTACTACCTAGAAAGTAATACACATTGTTTCTTTTTCGGATTCCCTTCATTATCACCAGTGCACCAGAGATAATCCTCATAATCCCATCTTTTGCCCTCACTTCTAAACCTTTTGATTCTAAGGTTCCCACAGAGATGAGATTTCTCATTAAATCTGGTACATAATGGACACCTGTTAAGGTTCTGATTGATACATCCTGATTCCTCAAGCGAATTAAACCAATCCCAAGTGTGTCAATAGGGGAATTATTTGCTGTGTAGACAATTTCACCTTTTAGTTCTTTAAAATCAAAGAACCATTCTCTATTGGGGATCATATGGTGGCTACAAACTGAATCTAACAGCCATGAACTGGAACAGCTGATTAATGGCATAGCAGCGAATGCGAAATCTGAATCTTCATCATCATACTCGACCACATTTGATTCTGAGACAGCCTTTCCCCTTTCAGGTTTGCATTTATTCTTTAGTATGGGACATTCTTTCTTCCAGTGCCCTTTTTCTCAACAAAAGGCACATTTATCTTTGCTCAATCTGGACTTTGACTTTGATCTCCCTCTTCTTCCTTTATTCTGACTCTTCGAACGGCCTCTAACAACAAGAGCTTCTGCTTCGACACTTGTATTTTCTTGTTTGTCTTTCTTTCTCAATTCATAACTATACAAGGTAGCAGTTATTTCACTGAGAGACACATCAACCTTCCCATGAAGTAGAGCAGTTTCAAGATACTCAAACTCATCAGGAAGTGATCCCATCAACATCAGAGCCAGATCTTCGTCTTCAAAAGTCACGTCCATATTCATCAGATCAGTCACCAGCTGATTAAAGCTAGTAATATGATCATTCATAGTGGTACCTGGTACATAGTTGAAGCGGAACAATCTCTTTTTCATGCAGAGCTTGTTATGACCGCTTTTCTTCAAAAATTTCTCCTCCAGTGCCTTCCATAATTTACTTGCAGAAGTTTCCTTAGAAAATGCATACTTCTGCTCTCTAGAAAGACACGATCGAATAGTACCACATGCTAATCTATTTATCCTCTTCCATTCTTTCTTCTTAACATCATCTGGTTTCTCTCCTTCAATAGCAATGTCTAGACCCTACTGAAATAGGGCATCTAGAACCTCACTTTGCCACATGCCGAAATGATCGGTGCCATCAAAAATCTTCACTGCAAATCTAACATTTGTCACAGTATTTCTTGTGGATGTTTTTGTGTCGTCTACCATTTCTGCTACAAATTCTATTTAATAGCTGTCAATGTGGAATGTCAATTACCCCAAGAAATTTTTTTCTGATGTGGAAGATCAGCCTAAGCCGCAACCACAGAGCATTCTAAAATAAACCAAGAGCGTTGATACCAATTATTGTGGAATTTGGGTTAATTTCCACCAATAATAACAAATTCACCTTGTAAACTATTATCTAGGTGACTAGTGTGAAAACGATTGTACTAAAAATCACCCCAAGGTAGATTCCTAGGAAAGAGGAGGGGTCACAATGGTCCTTCTTAAAATCCACTTTCCTTAGACAGAACTAGGGGTGTGCAAAAAAATCCGATCCGAACGATCCGATCCGTTGATCCGATCCGAAAATTCGGATATCCGATCCGTTTTTCAATTTTCGGATAGTTCGGATCGGGTATCCGAATTTTTTTCGAATTTTCGGATCGGATACGGATCGGTCAAAATCCAATTTCGGATTATCCGAAAACCCAAAAAAATTGGGCTATATTATTAGCCCAGAGCTGTTTGGGCTTGTTCTGCCATTTCCTTTTACTTCTCGCCCAAAACTTCGCTTATTGTTTCAAATGAATTCAAACCCTAATATCATGGTTTACACATAATGTTCCAACTCCTTTTTTTTTCAAGTTGGTTGCAGTTGTCTTTTATTGTTGTCTTAAGAGTGAAGTGGAGCAATAATTTTATGCTTATGAAATGGGCTAGCCGATAGAAGTGAGCAGAAGGCATTCAAATATACTGGAATTACTTGCTTTAATCCAAGTTCCTTCTCAGACGATAACACATATGTTGCATATAGGCCTTGCAACCAGGAAGTTGAGTTTTCAGCCTTGTGAATATCTAAAGTTTATGGCTTCCATATCCTTTAGCATGCTGGAACAAAGAAATGCCATTATTTTCAGTTGTTAATTGAGAAATTGTTATGATTAAATTATTAGTGTGATAGCATTTGCAAATCTGTTATGTTAAAGTATATCACCAGTTTTGCCGGAAGATTGTGAATAATGGGACAATTTACACGTTTAGTATCTAAATTATCAGTTTTAGTACTTAAACTTTTAATTTTATGTTAATTAATGCTTCTATTATATTGGTTTTCTTTAAATTATTTGTAAAAAAAATCGGATTCGACAAGTAATTTTAATATGACAATAATTAACAACAACTATACCCGACAATAGCTATTAAATAGACATAAAGAGAACGCCAAAATTTAACGAGGTTAGGCCAAAATTACGCATACCTCCTCGAACACTACTAAAATAATATTTCACTAATATAGGAAATATTACAAAGAGATAAAGAGTACAAATAGCCTTTAATAGTGAAGAAGGCTTATATTTATGGGATGTTAAACTAAGGAGGAGGAGGGCTCTATTTATAACAAAAGAGTTTCTCCTCCTCCTTATACAAAACCAATGTGAGATATTTGCCAAAAACCAACACCTAATACAAACCATTGTTTAGGAGGAATGAAAAAGTAAAAAGAAAAAATAAATTGATAGAGTGTATAAGTATTGAATATTAAATGTGTAATTATATTAATTTTGTTAACTGTCATATGAGCATTTCCATTAAATATTAACGGAAGTTGACTTTATTGACATCATTTAAATAATTAAGTGGTCTGACTGACAAAATTAAAAAATCGATAATCAAAATATAAAAGAGCGATAATTAAATGGTCATAGAAGAAATGGAGTTTACCCTAAAGTTTATTTGGATAGCATGAATGTATGGCATCATCTTACATGCCGAGTTGAAACGGAGTTTCATGTTTGCATCACATAGAAGAAAACAAGCAAAATCATTAAGTTTAGCTATAGGGTGAGAGAGATCAAGAAGAAATCTCTTTCGTCAATTTTATATTGCCTTAACCCCATACGTGCGTGTTTGCATATGAATTGAGTAGCAGCATTTCACACTCATCTGTTTTCCCAGCAATGACATGTTCACTTTACTTTACATAATGGAATCATGGCTAGGCTTCCAAAATCAAACGAAAGTAGCAAAGTGGATTACACACATTTACACGTCTATCCCACTACACACAATACCCTTTCTTACCATCCATTTCACGTGGAGCTTATTGATTGACACTATATATATACACAACACACACTTCGTAAGATATATTGACACGATTACAAAACAAAAGGCACTCGGTCTCTCTCCCATTTATATTTATTGTTTCCAAAACTAAATTATGATGATTAAAATACTAATTGAGAGAGATCGTAATTTGTGATTTGTTTTTTAAGCGACAATACATAAATATATGACATGCAACTACTATTGTAAATTGATATGAAATTTGTATTGTTTAATTTTCAAGCCCATATTGCAAGGATAGACATAGACGTTGAGCCAAGAGCAAGGGCAATGAAAGAAGCCTTGTTCAACCACGCATTTGAAGACATCAATTTGTTGTGGAAGAAATCAGCAGCTATGAGATCCACCAACGCCATGTAAATGAGTATACCCGATGATAATGAACCCAATAATCCTTCCATTATCAATGCGTTAGGGCTACTGTCGTCGTATCCCGTCACTGAAAATATTATCATCCCCAACAATATCCCCATCGGGGTCGTTACCGCGAACATTAGACACATGTATGCCACTGTTCCCATTCTGAAACCCGCCTGAAAAATCACAATCCTCCTCATTTCATTTAATAAAATAAATATTAATAAATTTTAGCGTAGAGAACACAAATAATCCCACTATAGGATGTTATTTTGTTAAGTTCCAGACTATAGGGTGTTGTTTTGTTAAACTATTAAAAGTTATAAAATGGTCCCTCGATTATAAAGTGTTACTTTGTTTAGTCCATCGACTATTAAAAGTCACAAAATAATCGTCCAACTATTCATATATTCTAAACTCATATTTTTCTTTAAAAAAATTGACGACCGTCTAAACTAGACGTTAAATTACTCACTAAAATATGATAAAATCTAAATGTTTGAGCTGTATTTTTGTAAACTGAATCTCTATGTACATAATGTCTAAGAAATAATGTTTGAAAGCAATGATGGTGCCAGTAAACATCATTAAAATAAAATTTTATTATATTTCAATCAATAAGTTAACATCCAACTCAAACGATTGTCAATTTTTAACAAAAAAAAGGACAAGATTGGAATATATGAATAGTCGGAAACCATTTTATAATTTTTAATAGTCGAGAGACTCAATAAAGATGTGTCCTATAATCAACGAACTATTTTATAACTTTTAATCACTAAAACAATATCGTATAATCAAGAGAACATGTGTGTACTTCATCCTAAATTTTATTTCTTTTTTAAAATGGTTATATTTTTTTAAAAAGAAAAAGAAAACGATGGGTTTTTCATTTATTGTATGTTACAACAAGAAAGGTAGGATAGAAACTCGGTAATTAAGTATAAGTAGTTCAAGATGCATGATGAAGGGTTTTCTTAAGTTAATGCGTTTAAGTTAACTCATGACAATGTCATTTATTGTTGTCATAAAAGAACAACAATAAAAATATTTCTCTGTCCTACACATTCTAGCTGCGCAAAGCCAACGATATTTCTCTAAAGTCTAAGTAAATACAAGTGGGTTAAATTACCTGGGCAATGCAACCACCGAGGCCCATGCCTTCGAATATCTGATGAAAGGCGAGTGCAGCAACCAGAGGTCTAATGGTGCACTGATTTTGCGACATCCCCATCGTCACCCCGATTATCACCGAATGGAAAATTATCCCAATCTCCAATACCTGTGACACAAGTCTCTGCTTAAGCTTAACTAATTCCTCGTTTGATAGATTAATGTTGTTGCCAACTTTTTTCTCCAACGTCACATCCTGTGTTCCCACCGGCAAATAATCTCCACTGGACTTATGGCCGTGCCCGTGCTCTACGTGTGAGCTGGCCGTTAAGTCGACGAAAAGAGCCAGAAGAGCCCCGATTAAAGTGACGAGTCCGGCGAAGGGAAAATCTTTCCAGGGATGACGAGAAGCAAGGTGGCAGTCGGATAAGGCGGCGAAGGCGTCGGGGAGGACGTGGACTAAGGAGGTAGAAAGGATGACTCCGGCAGCGAAGCACTTGATAATGAGAATTGTCTTGTCGTAAACGGGTTTTCCTATGAAATAACGGGCCAGAAGGACCGGGGAGGATATGCCGATGATACTGGTGAAGAAGATGACAAAAAGGGAGATGAATTTAAGGTGCGTGGCGGCTGCACCGTCCCTGCAGGCGAGGGCTCGAGCCGTGTCGCTCACGCACGATGACATGGTTGCACCTGCACCTAGAAGAGAGAGAGAGAGAGAGAGAGAGGATTGTGTCTGGTGGGGAGCGCAATGATGAACAAAACTAGAGGTGGGATTTTAAGAAGGGACGGTTTTGATCTTGTAAATTGTAAATTGTTAGCGCGTAGATTAGTAAAGTGGTGGCTCCTTTTATTTTTCATGGAGTTTTTACTCTCTTTTCTATTTGGAAAAAAAGATGATGCAAATTTGACATGATCACTTTTTTAAAGGAACACAATAGAAATCCTTTTTTATCAATTAATAAATATAAATAATTAACTATTTGATAAAAATGAGTAAATTCATTTAATTATTTAGGTCATAAGTTCTAAAACCACTAGAAATAATTTTCTTTCTTTTCTTAGAGTCTCTCTCCCTCTAAATAGAATTAAATTTAAATTTTGTCAAGAAAAAACTATTTGATAAAAATGCTCAAGCACATTTAATTGTTTGGCCAAACTATTCATCTTTATTACTTCGTATTCATTTTATGTTATATGTTCTAGACTCACTAGTAGCACCCCATTCCTTTTTTTTTAGAGTTTTCCCGTCCTCTAAATAGAATTAAATTTAAAATTTATCAAGAAAAACTATTTGATAGAAACAAAATTAAAGTTCATTTTGTAAAAAAATTATCTTTAATTTTATTTGGAATATTATTAGCAACAGTTTTGTTCTTAATAAGAAATAATTGGCATGTTTAGGTAAATAATACTTTTATATAATTAAGTATAGGAATGATATTTTTTTTAGAGAAATGACACTCATTTCAATCACGTAGTATAAATAAGCATTGTCAATAACGCTTTACTGAAAGTGTAATTTGTTAGAAACGTCTTTGGACAAACGTGATAATCCAGGCGAAAGGCATTACTAATCATATATGCTTTTCTTCTCCCTATATCGGATTTTGATTGTTCAGCGGTTTAGGAATTTTTTTAAAAGTTGATTTGGGGTTTTTTTAAAAGGCTTTAGAAGTTTTTTTATATATATAATTTGTATACGATGAAAAATAAATTAGGAATTTTTATTCTATGGTTTAGAGTTGTATGAAATTAATAGGATTAGACTTTGGGTTTATTATAAAAAAAAATTGCGAGTGTTAGCGTTAAAATTTAGTATTATTTTTTTTAGTACAAGGTGATGTTCTTAGGACATTTAAACATTTTTGACGTGTTGATTTGAAACTGTAAACAAAAGATATAAAACTTAAGTTGTAAAGATTCTCTAATTAAAATGATTGGAGAAAGTTAAAGTTGTATAGATTTTTTTAGAGTGATTAAAGATTTTATGCATGATTTTGCTTACTTATAAAAGAGGTCATTCAACTTTTCTTAAGCTTTTCTTGTCTATAATGGTAGCAAGTGATTAGACAAGAAGGGTTTGTAGAGAAACTATGTTTTGACGAATAAGTGCTTTTGTTTTTCTCAGCAATGTTTATCTATTATTAAATAAATATGATCATACTAGATCACTTTATGCCTCGTTAAAAAACCTCTCCCATCAAAAGGAAGAACAGAGCACATCAAAGTAATCAAATATACAACACAAAAACACCTGAATATACTATTTGTTTGCGAAATCTTTTATATATTTAATATCTGCATTCATTGCCAAGCACTGTAGCCTTGTTGATGCTACATCTGAACTTCTTTGAAAAATCATGACTCCTTGAGACACACAAGCTTCAAGCAACTATAAACTTTTTATATTGATTTTTATTTGTAGGACGTTCTGCATCTGCATCTGCATCGAAGATACTTGAATATTTGAATGAGCTTTCAGTCGAATGTGGCTTTCATCTTCCGCTACGAATTTACTTATTTTTGTTGTTTCTATAGATTTCAAAAGTGGAAAAAATAAAGAAGTATCATCCCATTTATCCTATTTATCATTTGAAATGTAACTTCATTCCCAACATTTCTGCAAATAGAAAACCCAAAATTTTCTTCAAGTTTGTTTGTGTAGGCATGGAGGTACGAATGAAACTAAGGGGAATGGCTCTTGAAGAGGGTTTTGTAGCGGAGACTGAAGAGGAAGAGAGGCCAAGAGATGGGGTTTTTTGTTTACACTGAAAAAGCACATGAAGATATTAAATATATAAAAGCTTTTGCAATTAATCTTCCATTTGGGATGTACCCCCGTGGCTGAGGCGTGTCTAGACTTTCATTTGGTCCCAGCTTTGATCTCCTTCGGGCGGTTAATTCATCTTTAATTTGTTTCCCCTTTAAAGAGGTGATGACACATGTCATCTCCTAATTGGAGGGTTAATTTTTGAATTATATTAAAATTAAGGCTAAATTGATAGAATTTATAAATAATTAAGATTAAATATATAATTATACTAATTTTATTAACTACCACATCAACGTCTCTATCAAATTTTAATTGTTAGTGGCTTGATTAAGAACAATTAAATAATTAGGTGGTCTGATTGATAAAATTGAAAGATCGATGGTTAATGTGAAAAGGAACAATAGTTAGTTAGTTAGTTAGTTAGACAAATCGAATTGACTTTACCTTAATTTCTTAAAATCGACTTGAAAATTTTTCAAATAAACTTTGAATAATAAAATAAGACTTTTCAACTCGACTAACTCAATTTGATCGAATACTCGCCCTACTCTTGGGGAAAATAGGCCTCAATTTCAAACTCCTTTATGAGCATTGAAGCCCATTTTCCAATATAATTTTTCAATTTTGATGCCATAGTTTAGACTTTGAAACAGACCAGTGGGTTCTGAAACCAATCACTCAATCTCAAATGGGGTCTAATGACTATGACTATGTTCATTTTTTTCCAAAATAAATTGTTTGGTTTCGAAACCCATCCCTCGGTTTTAAAATAAAAGTTACATGTGAGTATTTAATTAATACTCCTGACAGCTATAATTCGTCTCCAATGTCTAAAAATTATTAGAAGACAAAAAATGGACCAAGAATTAGTGTAAGAACGTCAAGAAAGAATAAAACACTTGTGAGCTATTATTGTTACATTTGCTCAAGTGTTTATATGAGCTTAAGTGTACAAGCCCTTTAATCTTATGATGATTATTCTTTATTTGTTAAATTTGTATTTTCTTTGTTGAGAGAGGTTTATGCTAAAGATATGGGTAGAAACATTAAGTGCGCTTTTCTTAAGATCTGGATAGAAATCTTAAGGGTTATAAGGTTAAAAATAGTCCTCAAATGTTTAAATTTGAGTTATTGAATTTGAAATTTGTTTTAGTGTCTTACATCTCATGCTGGGAGCAAGAATGATTTTTTTTTCTCATTTTATTCACATAATTGATGACATTGATTGAATAAAATTAATTAAAAAGATACGATAGAACATTCTTTAAAATATTTATGTGCTTGTTGTCTCAATTAATAAATAAAAAGTACTCGACTGAATAATTTTTCTATAATAATACAATTGATTTTTACAATTTCAAGGACCTTTTATTAATTTTACTCTACAAAATCGTCATTCTTATTTTCTAGTTTTTGTTACCGGTACTTATTTATGTTTTTATTAGTGAAAGGGAAAACTTGGTGTTTGATGAGTATGATTTGCATATAGGGAGAAAGTTGGGTCGAAAGCACTATCGGGGAAGTGGAGTCGTCTTTTTAATTTCTTTTGATTGCTTAAATGGACGACTCTTGAACGAATGCACACATCGATATCTATAATTAATTGTATATAATGATGTGGACTACTAATATTAAATAGAATAAAATCCATAAATGATATTTTATTTGTCATTGAGTTTTTATAAGTTACAAAATAGATATTAAACTTTAAATTTTATTAAAAAAGTAAGCATCTGTCGTTAAATATTGTTAAGGGGTAACGCAAACATGCTAAATTTATAAAAATTATTATTTGATCCTTCAATTATAACTAAAAAATTATTTTTAGTATTTTTCTCAATATTTTTAAGTAATTATTTTAAAAATATAAAATTCGTAACTTTTTAAAATATATTAAAAATATTTTTAATATTAAAACAATTATAATTTTGTGTATTTTTTAATTCGTCAAATTATTTTATAACTAATTGTTTATGTAATTATTATTTAATTTTTAAAATTAAAAAAATATAATTTTTGAAATCTAAAATTTTAATTATCGAAATTATTTTTTAAAAGTATATGAAAAATATTTTTAAAATTAAAACAATTATAATTTTATGTATTTTTTAATTCATCAAATTATTTAATAATTAATTGTTTATTTAATTATTATTTAATTTTTAAAATTAAAAAATTATAATTTTCGAAATCGAAAAATTTATTTATCAAACTATGAAATTGTCTTTTTATTAAACGACGTGATTCAAACATTTAACTTTATTCAAATATAATTTTAAAAAAATACATCTTTATCACACTCAATATAGCTTATTTAACATACATCCGAATTTCATGTTATACTTCTAGATTCAAGATGCTATATAATACCCACTCAATAAACGAGCTAGAACTGAAGTTTTAATGGTAAGTTGAAGTTCTACGGTGAATATTTTATTCTTGAATATATATCTATTCATTTATTTCATTTATACTATGATTAGAGGACACACGCTACACAACAATTTTGAATCAGAAGAGAGTTTAAGAAATGATAGATCTATTTACTCAATTAATAACCAAGTCGGATCTGGTGTATCATTAGAGATTTGCCTTTTCTATCGACTCCTAAAGATTGAATCAAAAACAATTCTTGAATGAGGTATGTCAGGGAAGAAAAAACAGAGTCAACCACATGGAAACAAACTGAAACCAGGCCTTCGACGAAAGCATTAGGAATGGGAGGAAGTACCTTAGCAACATTCCTTTACAACAATAGGGAATGGAACTAGAACTCCAACTGGCATTTCACAGCATGCTAAGCATGAATTAATCTATGAATGTTTTCATCTTGATCTATGTTATGCCATAATTGTTTGTGCCATTTTTATGCTCGTCCTACATGTATGACATGATTATAATTCATGTAAATACGTGCTTACTAAGATAAATCTTTACTGGAATTTTAGCCATGATTATTTATGACCTTTCACGATTAGCAAACATACTTCAAAGTTGTCAAATTACATACTGCTTTTACTAGTCTCATTTTTTATGCACAAATAAATCAAAA